AGCACAGGAACGGGTAGCAGAATACAAGGGACGCTGTAGCTGAAACAGCAGTGAGCCAGTGCAGCAGTCCTGTTTAAATAATCCATTTTAGCGCCAGCTTTAGTGACATACACAGTCGCATATGTGAACGTATTCATTGCATTTGCACATTGCTGGCCCACGCCACAAGTATGCAACTGGGAATGTTACCTGGACTATGAGCAAGCCTTTCCTGACAAGTCCCTTTCTCTGCAGCCTCAGATTCACAGATGAATGAACAGGAAGCTCTTTGAGGCTTCCTGTTCATTCACAAACTTAAGAATAGTAAACACAATTTCAGTAATGTATGGCGATACATATACAAACAACTTCCACCGGTGGCAAATAACCTCTGTTAACGCAATGATTTACATTTGAAATTATACAGAACTTTTTGTTCATAACCTAATACATGGAACTTTTTATTCTTAAATAGAAGAGAAATACCAGTTCACTCCATTATATGATCAAGATTCTTCACATCTATACGATATCCATATTTGAAGATTTATACCTTCCATGTCAATAGGAGGATATCTCCCTCATTGAAAGCAGTTTGTAAGATACTCTTTCTCTTCATGCATGTCCGATAACAGACTTTATCTAGATTAACTAGTTGCCGATCGCAGATAGCCGAATGACGGCTGCACTGCGGCCGGCCAGTTCTGGGTGGACGTCATATGACGTCCTCCCAGAACTCACTCTCCTGCGCGCCCCAGGGGGCGCGCACCCGGCGATCTCCGTGATCGCTGTGTCCTACGGACACAGCTGATCACGTGATGTGGTAAAAGGCCAATCACAGCGGTCTTTTACCACGTGATCAGCCGTGTCCAATGACACGCTGATCACAGGGAAATGCAATTGCCGGTTCTCGGCTGCACTTTTCTCACGCTGTCAGATCGTGAGGAAAGTACTGCCGAGAACCGGCAGTTGTCAGAGCGAGGATCGGCACCGATCATCAGGGCACTGATGATCAGTGCCCTGATGATCGGTGCCCAGCAGTGCCACCCACAAGTTCCGCCCACCTGTGCCCAGCCGTGCGCCCACTAGCTCCGCCCACCTGTGCCCAGCAGATCACCCACTGCTTTTATTTTTTTTTTGTTGACTGTGTGTTCACCATATCATATGCCCACCATTCAGAGGATCCTAGTGATCATAATAAAGATACTGTTCTGCATCCATTTTGATGTTTTAGTTTACTCAGCATTGGATTTAAAATACGGTTCTTTCTGCAGTTTGTTTTAGTCAACTGCTTATTTTTCTATTATGCTCATATTCAGTTAATAATACACACCTCTATTTATGGTGAGTCAGAGAAATTTCTTAGATGGGTGGTTATACACTAAACTATGGCATTTTCTCTTTTTGTTCATGTCTACTGCTTATCATCTGAACCCTATAGATTAGAGAGTAAAGATATTTGTTAAAGTGTGTTGCTAGTAATTTTGACAAAGTTTGATGTCAGAAGTCAGAAGGGAAATTGAATAGTAATTGGAGATGATAGTAGCAGTGTTGCTGGGTTTGGTTATCTTTGCATTATGTATGTAGTAAGAGAGGGATGTAATGGTACATTGTTTAATTTTTTTAAGAAGCTGAAGAGATTGTCAGGGTGAGGACTAAGCATATCACTAAATTTCTTGTAGGATTGATTAGGGAACACATCAGAGCCCCGTGTTTTACTTTTTTTTTTAAAGCCTATGTTTAGCAAAAAAAAAAAAATCAGCACTAGGGACAGCACTTACTATGAATATATAATGTCCCTTGTGCTGATAACATCTGCTTTAGCTAAAATCCTAAGCCCTCTGAACCATTCTACACTCACAGCACTAATCGTCCGATACTGCAGGGGTTAATAAAGCTGAGGGTCCTGTGACAGAGAGGAGCAGAAAGTTGGGTATAGTCAGAACTCTTGATGTGTGCCTGTCACAGGTCTTCCAACTCTACTAACCCCTGCAGCACCGTAAGATTTTTGCTGCTGGGATGTGGGGTTCAGAAGACTTAAAATTTCAACTAAAGCAGCAGTTATCAACACAAGAGACACTTCACAACAGGGGCGGACTGACCATTTGGGAACTCAGGCACTGCCCGAGGGCCCGGGGTCAGTAGGTGGCCCCATGAGATGCTCCTGGTACCTTTCATAGGCTTTTTTGGGTGAGGTTTGAGTGTGGGCGAGGACACAGGGGCCCCATGATCCCCTATTGCCCGGGGGCCCCATGAGTTGTCAGTCCGCCCCTGCTCACAATGACAGTAAATACTACTGTCCACTTCACTGGTTTAAAAAAAAAAAGTTTGACTAAACTCAGGCATTAGGAATTTTGTGGCCTGACAGTATCTAGGCTGATATATAATATTTCTTTGGGGGGGAGCTTTTGAAAGAGTTGGTCAGCTAAATAAGTGTTAAGAGTGGTATGTTTAGAACAGATTTGACCAAGATGATCACTTCAGCAAATTCACACAAACACAAGAGGATGGGGTTAGAAGCATGCAGAGTTGTCTAGCAAGAAGTGGGCAAGGTTTGTTGGCTTGTGTGTAAAATAATTGTTTGGGGTTGTCTAGCAAGAAGTGGGCAAGGTTTGTTGGCTTGTGTGTAAAATTGTTTATTCCAACAAAGTGTGTTTTCTTTTTTATGGTTGAGCAGGAAGTTAGGTTCAGTCTTGGCAGATTTTACTTGTTTTTGCAGGGTGCAGGAAGGAGACTGATTCCATAATGTCTGCTGTTATTTTGTTTTGCCCTTTGTTTTTCACCAGCTATGGTTAGGGTAACAAGTTCAATATAATGTTATGAGCTGCCCAAACAGAGATAGGTGATGAAACTGTGTATGTATTATTCTATAAATAGGTGGGTATAGCATCAAAAAATTGTAGGTGGGTGTTATGAGTAGAGAGTAAGGATTCACAGAGACAACAAAGAAATTATAGGGGAGTGCTCAGGCTAAGTTTATTATAGTATATTTCTCTTAGAAGACGAGGAAGTGGTCAGTATAACCAAATAGATTATGAGGGATAAAAAGTAGTGGGTTTAAGCACATTGTGTGACTCATTTCTCACCATAAGTGTACTATATTGTTGTCTCTCAGCAAGGAGACCATAGCCTTAGATTGAAAATTTATGGAGTATAAAGTAGGACTAGGTAGGGGGAGTGAAGTTCTGTCTTGTTAGGGTCCAGATGTGTGTTTTCTGCAAATATCACTAGGTCCTTCTTGATATGTGCAGGAGAAAATGGGAGAAAAACCTAAATTGGTGCATGTTAAGGGTATAATGGGTAGCAATGGTGATGTTGACATCGTACAGTGCTCCAGAGAGTATTGGTAGTGACTGGTGGGGTCACTGATCTGTTTATTATGAATGATAGGAAGACTTTTTCAGCTGAGTTACTACAGACCAAAAACACACTACAGGGGGCCTGTGTCACTCTGAGAGGCCACAGAGAACACAATCATGATATTACAGAAGGTTAATATAATATTTATCATGTGCACTAGACAAAACACAATTCAACAGCCAATTATGTGTAGGATATTTAAGGATCTGATACCATAAAAGTCCATTTGTCTATAGTTATAGAGATAGGAAAGCAGACATCGCATAAAATCATATGGGCAATTTTATTAAAATCAAAGAATATCACTCACATTTTGAAAGACAGAAAGCACTTTGTAACAAATAGAAACTCTGGTCCCGGGAACTGATCCAACTTCCTAGTATACGGAAACAGCAAAATAACATCAGGAAGGATCATTGCAGGATGTTTTTATCTCTGATTGGTGACTCCTGATGTTTAACCGGGGAGCCCAGTGGGCTTTTGTCTGATGAGAATTCAGACTGGCTGTGATTTTGGGAGATTGAGGCGAGACCATTTGAGACAAGAGCAGCACGTGTTTAGGCTCTGCTGGAGTTTGGTGTGCAGATGCTACTAGACATGTGCAGAACGAAAAAAAATGTGTTTTGTTTCAGATGGATTTGTTAATTTAACAATTTTGTTTTATTGCATTTGTTAAATTTTGATAATATGTTTTTGTAATTCGTTTTGCTTTGTTTACTCATTTTTCAATGGATTAGAATTTTCTGAAGTATTCAAATTCGAATCTAATCAAAAAAATTTGAATCAATTCAAATTTGAATTGAATATCCAAAATTTATTTGGATACTGCTTGTTCATATACTGTTTACATATTTGTGATTTTATCAGATAAAAAAGAAGTTTTCACAACATGAAAGCCTCCACTATGAACCCCACAGAATATGTTACATGAAATTCTAGGTAAGTTATCATCATTATCACATATACAAATTGTAGAACTACAAGAGTATCAACATGTGATGGACACCTTGATACTATTCACCAACTACCACTAAATTCTTCTATAAAAAAATTCTGGCAGCAACTTTATGCGTTGTATAAAAACGGAGTTACTTGTCTATTACTAATATGAAACTCACATACATAGCAACCATGTTGAGTATAGTAATTAAAAGCATGTTACGCGTTCACTTGTTCACTTGTTCACTTGTTCACTTGTGCACACCATCCACTGCCACCAGACTAGGATTGGGGGGGGGAACGATCAACTTGGGCACGACCAGCATGTCGGATTTTCATTTCATTATTGCTATAATCATTGGGTGTTCTCCCAGCAGAGGCAGCTCCCCCCCCCCCCCAGCCCCCCCTCCCCACCACCAGAAGAAGAATACAATAACTCTGCAGGAGGGATTCCCACATCAACACTGACTGTGTTGATGGGGGAATCAAGCAATTTTCATTCCTTAAATCTGTGGTTGTAGGAAAGAAAATTGCACCAGCTATGACTGGCTTAAGCCTTTAATAAAAGGATTGAAAGTAACATAAAAAAAAATTAAAGGGTCCTAGGTTATAAGGCATATGCACTATATTGCCAAAAGTATTGGGACACCCCTCCAAATCATTGAATTCAGGTGTTTCAATCACCTCCATGGCCACAGATGTATAAATTCAAGCACCTAGGCATACAGACTGCTTCTACAAACATTTGTAAAAGAATAGGTCGCTCTCAAGAGCTCAGTGAATTCAAGTGTTGTACCATGATAGGTTGCAACCTGTGCAATAAGTCCATCCGTGAAATTTCCTTGCTATTAAGTATTTCACAGTCAACTGTTAGTGGTAATATAACAATGTGGAAGCAACTGGGAACAACAGCAACTCAGTCACGAAGTGGTAGGCCACATAAAATAACAGCACATGCTGAGGCACACAGTGCGCAGAAGAAATCGCCAACTGTCTGCAGAGTCAATAGCTAAAGACCTCCAAACTTTGTGTGGCTTTCAGATTATCACAACAACAGTGCATAGAGAGCTTCAGGGAATGGGTTTCCATGGCCAAGCAGCTGCTTCCAAACCTTACAGCACCAATGGTACTTGCGCGACTGCATTGTGCCAAGTGTAAAATTTGGTGGAGGGAGGATTATGGCGTGGGGTTGTTTTTCAGGGGTTGGGCTTGGACCCTTAGTTACAGTGAAGGTGTAAGCATACCAGGACACTTTGGACAATTTCATGCTCCTTCCTGTTTCAAAATGACTGCACACCAGTGCACAAAGCAAGATCCATAAATACATGGATAAGCAAGTTTGGGGTGGAGGAACTTGACTGGCCTGCACAGAGTACTGACCTCAACCTGATAGAACACCTTTGGGGTGAAATAGAGCGGAGACTGTGAGCCAGGCCTTCTCATCCGACATCAGTGCCTTACCTCACAAATGCGATTCTAGAAGAATAAGAACAAATTCCCATAGACACACTCCTAAACCTTGTGGACAGCCTTCCCAGAAGAGTTGAAACTGTTATAGCTGCAAAGGGTGGGCCAAATCAAAACTGAATCCTACGGCCTATGACTGGGATGCCATTAAAGTTCATATGCGTGTAAAGGCAGGTGTCCCAATACTTATAGTGTATGTTGATCTGGACACAAATAATGCTAAAATTATTCATTCTCAAGAACATATTGACCATTCAATTTATGGCATGTTAATCTTCTTTGTATTAATAATAAGGTTTATTCAGAATCTGTGAAGTGTTCTAAGTTATAAAAGCAATATCTGACTTCACATTTTGATATCTCTATGTACAGTACTGTGCAAAAGTTTCAGGAGGGTGTGAAGAAATAAGTATGAACTCTGAAAAATAGCTATTTTACTAGCTTAATTTTATCAATTTGAAAAAATGCAAAGTAAGCGAACAGAAGAAAAATCTAAATAAAATAAATATTTGAATATCTATTGGCTTCAAAACAACATCAATTATTTCAGGGCACACTGATACGCACAGGGGGAGATTTCCTAAAACTAAAGCCCAGAGAATCTGGTGCAACTGTTCATAGCAACCAATCAGCTTCTAAATGCAGCTTGACAATAAGGCTCCATGCACACTGGACGTTTTAATAACGCTGGTTAGCTGTGTATAGTCACATTAAAAACGTGCGCTTTCTAGTGGTTTTTGGTGTTTTTTCACAGGTTTTTTTAATGCAAAAAAAGTTTGTTTTGCTCAAAAAAAGCCAGTTTGCAGCGATTTACCGTGTTTTACCGTGTGTTGCCACATTTTTCAGCATTAGAGCATTTTTACAGCTAGAAAACTCCTCTAGTGATAAACCTCCCAGAGATCTGGTTCTTGAACATTTTTTTAATCAAAGAAGAAATATTAAGATCTGCAAGGAACACTCAAAATATATTCTTGGATGGCATCAGGTTTTTCCAGATGTCTCACCAGCCACACTAGAGAGTGACGACATCGTTCACATCGGTGAGAATCCGTTACAGATGGGGTTTTCCTTTTAAACTGGTCATTCCTCATAATGGTTCTATTTATGTAGCCACCACTTGACATTTTAGTTAAACTTGGTCTTCGGGAGGCGGTTTCTTCACCTAGACCACCAAACACACCTCGTCCAACTCCAATATGGTTCACTCAGGCTTCCAGACGTGATAGACATTGTGTTCGTCATGAGATTGGATGAACAGTTATTTTCTACAGTCTACTGCATCATTATGCTAAGTCTTGAAATTGTGCTACACTAGTGGGGGGTGGTATAAGTTTTAGTGGTATAAGTTGTGATTATACTCTTTATGATTTAAAGTTTGATCATTATTGCCATGTTCTTTCTGTGTGGAGTAACGCTCCCTATACTGATGGTACTTCAGTTTATAACTTAGCACCTTTCTGTTATGTAATCACATTTATTTTTCCAGGTACTGCCCGTCCATTTTGCAGTGATGCAGCCCTATTCAAACTTGGCACATTCTCTTTTCAGTGCTTTGCTGGGTTTGAATTTGGGACCTTTTGGTCCCATAAGTAACAGTTTATTAACAGGCGTTGTTTTGACTACTGATCCTCTTTTTTTATTGCACTTATGGTTTTTTTTCTGTTCTTTAGCTATTTATTTTTTGCTAGCTGTCTTGATACAGTTTATAGTTTATTTTTTAGTATATTTTGTTGAGGCTCCTGGGTATCGTAATTGTCTTGGGTTTCAAAGCCCTGATTTTGCATCCGATTTTTTTTATCCGACAAAGGTTAATACAGGTTTATAAACTGGGATTTCTAGATATTCTATCATTGACTTTTTAGTGCAGATCCCTAAAACTTCTATACCTGCTTGAAGTAAATGTTTGGTTTATAGTCACCCAATGTCTACATAATGGGAATTAAAATCATTTCACACAATGTTCAGGGATTCAACTCCCCATCCAAATGCAGAAAAACTTTTATACAATATATAAAAAATAGATGCAAAAATTATGTTACAAGAAACACATTTTCAATTCGATAAACATCCTAAATATTCCATAAATCTTTTTTTCAAGCTTTTTTCACAATGTTCTCTTCTAAACATAGAGGAGTTGCCATTTTTTTTTTACAATTATTTGACATTTGATATCCAACAATGTATATGGATCCTGAACGTAGATTTTTAACTGTCAAAGGTTGTTTGTCGGGTAAGCAAATTACTTTTGCAAATGTTTATGCCCCTAATTGAAGCCCATTCGCTTTTTTCAGGGAGTTTTTCGATGTCTTGGAAGGCTGTCACTCCCCCCATATGCTGGTAGGTGGGGATTTCAATCTAGTATCTCAGTCTTCTCTTGATAGAAGTAATCCTACCATAAATTCAAAAAAATTTTCCCAAGACGCTCATAAGGCTTCTTAACAATTATCAATTAATAGATTCTGGGAGGGCCCATAACATTGGTGCTAAAGAATATTCTTTTTTCTCTTGCCCTAATGAAACTCAAGCTAGGCTTGACTATATATTTTGTACTCCAGTTATTTTGTCAGGTTCTCTTTCGGCCAACATATACCCCTGTGCCTGGGCAGACCATCATATGGCTAGGCTGGTCGTTTCATGTATTGGTATGTCCAATACTCCATACTCATGGCGTCTGAATGACTCCCTACTTTCTGACCTTTCTATAACATTTGAAATTAACTCTGCTCTAGAGGAATATTTCACATTGAATTCTCTACCCAACACATCCATCCCTATGGTATGGGCCACTCATAAGGCTGTCTTAGTATTGCTGCAGCACGTAATAAAGAAAATTGGCTAAAAATACACTCTTTCACTAAAGAACTAAAATTGTTATATACTATACCTACTCAAACTCTCTCCAATGTGGTCTCTCAGGCCATATCTGATAAGAGATTGGAATTAGATACACTTTTGTCTACTAAGACAGAAAAAAAATTAAAATGGTCAAAAGCCAAGTTTTTACTTTACAGCAATTCATCTTCAGCTATGTTTGCACAAAAACTAAAATAAACAATTAACCCCCCTCACGTTTACAAACTTAAATCCACATTGGGTAATATCTACTCGTTACCTAAAGAAGTCTCAAAAATTTTTAAGAAACTTTTAAAAAATTTACTTTTTAATTTAATTTACTGAGAGACCTCCTTAAGATACAATCTCTGATTCAACTTTGGATTGGTTTAAGAAGATCCCTCTCCCTTCAGTTACAAAGTTCCAAAAAGATAAACTGAATTCACCTTGTACAGAGGCAGAAGTTCTCAATGTTATTAAATCTTTGAAACGTTCTACAGCCCTGGGCCCAGATGGATATATCTCAGCCTACTATAAGAATTTTGCCACTATTCTGGCTCCTAAATTGTCTTCTCTTTTCAATTTCATCCTTCAAGGTCATTATTTCCCTGACGAAATGTTAATGGCAAATATGTCATTGTTACCTAAGCCTAAGAAAGACCACCTTTTTCCTCAAAATTACAGACCAATTTCTGTAATCAATAATGATGTAAATATTTTTAGCAGAATTCTAGCTGACAGATTGGCTTCTATTATTCAATATATTATCTCATCAGATCAATCAGGATTTATTCCGAACAGGTTGATTAATGATAATATTAGGTTGGCTACCAATGTTATACAAGATGACAATTTGAACTCTAAGGAGGTTGTTATATTACGTTTAGACATTCATAAAGCTTTTGATAGTGTAACATGGCCCTATCTTAATACTCTACTTCATCAATTTGGTTTGGTTGGATAATTTAATCATGGTTTTCAAGTGTTATTCCATTCCCCCAAAACAAGGATCAAAATTCCAGGTTTTAATTCTGAGGTTTTTTTGGTGTGTAGAGGCACTGGTCAAGGATGCCCTCTTTCATCCCTTATTTTTTCCCTTGTGACGGAGCCCCTTGCCAAGGCTATTAACAAACATCCAGACATTGCAGGATGCTCTAATGGTTTTCAAGAATTTAAACTTTGCTTATATTATGCACATGATGCCCTGCTTTTTATCACTAAACCATTACTTTCTTTACCAAACCTTCTTTCTACACTTGAGGTATTTTCTTCCCTTTCAGGTCTACAGGTCAATCTCAATAAATGTAATGCATTGCCAATTAATATATCTCCTCCCATGACAGAAAGACTTTAACTCTCTTTCCAATTTCAGTGGCCAAAAGATTTGATTCCCTATTTGGGAATTGATTGACACATTCTTTTAATGAGCTATTTCAATACAATTTCCATTCTATCCATAAAAAAATATGAATCTTCTTAAACTCTGGAAAATATTTCATATCTCTTTTTTGGTTAGGGTGACAGCCATTAAAATGAGTATATTTCCTAAACTATTGTACCTATTTAGAGCCCTCCCAATAAAAATATCCAAGACATTCTTAGATGGTATCCAAAGAGAGATAAATATGTTCATATAGCTTGGCAAAGGTCCAAGATTCTCTAAAACAATACTTTATAGTTCACAATCTTATGGTGGATTGGGCATTCCATATTTATGGTCATATTATCTTGCTCAATTAGCACAATGAAATATCCACCACTCTAAGGTCCCCTGGATTAGATTTGAGTCAGGGTCAATTTGTCCATATTACCTGCCTGGTTTGCTTTGGTCATCTAGTATCTCTCCATATTGCTCCATATAACATTATAGTAGCACAATCTATACACCTATGGAACTTACATAAAAGTAAATTTAAGTTGATCTCTCAATTTTCTCCATTGACTTCCTTTTTGGGAGATCCTAAATTGGGTTCAGCATTCTCATCTCCAAATAGTTTTATGTG